ACTCTCTAATTTATACTGCTACCATGCACCTGCTGGTGGATCTGGTTTAGTAGAAACTCTCTAATTTTTAAGGATAGCCAATCTAATCCTGCTGTCATTGCCTCTAATATTGGGAGATATACAATATCCTGCTGTCATTGCCTCTAATATTGGGAGATATACAATACTTTGGGCAGGTGCTGCTAGGGAGAGGTTGGCAAGGAGACTCCGGAGAGCTGCCATCAACATTGGTCTTCAGGAGCTAGCAAAGAATAACGCAGTTGCTTCTGGGGATCACTTTTCCCCAAGTCCACCAACTCAGGCTTCTCCATAAACTCTGTTAGATGGTTACTCCCTTTTGTATTGGAAAAACTGATGAGACTTTCTATCTTTTCCTTAATCTCTATGTGCTCTAGTGATGTTTATGTATCCCTTGTAAGTAAGTATGTAATATGGGTCTGATAGCTGTAGAGTCGCAGAGGGTCTGCTTTACCCCTTGTGAGTCTACAACTAGCTGTGATGTACTTTGTTTGGTTTGCAATAAGATTCTCAAATGAACAGGGTTTTCACCCTGTTTTTTCAGTCAAAAATGTTGGAGAACTTGGCGTTGAAGATAATGGCTACTATTGTGAAGCTCAATGGTACAAAGTATTTATTTTGGGCTCAATCTTTCAGATTGTATATTGGTGCTCAGAAGAAGATGAAGCACTTGGCTCATGATCCACCTGATATTATGGATGTTAGCTATTCTAATCAGAGATGGGTCTAAAGATGGCGGTGGAGATGGGCGGAAGTGATGGAGACATTCAGGTTGACGGGAATTAGGGTTAGACTTAATCTGATACCATGTTAGAGTCCCTCTAAACATTACCAGACTCTGATGTTATGATAAGACCCGAGAATTGTAGTTTTATATTCTAACAAACTCCATAAACTAAGGCTGAACATTTTTGTCATATTTGAGAAGAATTTCCCTCCTGTTCTTTGGGATAAGAATACTAAAACAGTGTAAGAAAATTTTTACTAAATGTAAATTCACAGTTACCAGCAATATCGCGTCAAGAGTTTTTATACATATAAAACCTAGAGCAAAACAATCTATTTATAGAAACCAATCTAAGCAAGAGAGAAGCATTGCATACTTCCTTAGGCACTCATAAGTAAGAAATTAACTGAAGCACAAATCAAAAGGTTTATTATTAGGTATAAAGATAGCCATTAACTCGAAAGTGTCTGCTTTAACAGAAACATTGTGCAAGCTGATTTGATACATCCAATGAATAGTAATTAAAACCAGTAGGTTGTCCCTTCACAAATATTAGAAATACCAACGAATTGACTGAAAATTTTCGCTGTAAAGCATTTAAAAACCAATAATTATAAAGGAAAAATGGCTAACAAATCTAACATCTGCACATGCTGCTGACAACGGGGTACTAGCAAGAAAATGCCTAATTTTTTATAGGGATAAGTTTCCTATAACAGTATCCATAGGGTCGGCCCTGAGGTTTGGGTTGCCCTACCCCAATCCAATTTTGGTTGCGCATTATATTAAAAATTTGGTACGAACAATAACGATAAAAATGAATACATATAATACCATTTAACATTCTATATTAGGCTCAAACTGATAATATTCTCTTGCAAGATCAATATTCATATAAGAAAAAATTACATTTGTGCTAAAATTTAATTCAAAGAAAAACACTTCTCCTTGAATTTTTTGAAGTGAATTCTTCAATTAAATCATCATACTCGAGTTTCTCGAAGTATTCATTTTCAATTGATATCATTGCCAATCCATTCAATCAATCATGTGACATGGTAATGCGAAGATAATATATATGAAATCACAGCAATCAACTAAACTGATGCCGGAATGAAGACTTAGCAATATCATTATTATTAAAACAATCAAACAATTAATCTAGATAGCAATACAATAATATGAATGTCATCAAATCAAAGTTAAATTGATATTATAATTAAAACCAAATAGAAATATATCATATTATCGTCCATTAGGATTTTCGAGTTTTAGATGACTAGAAGGGAGATGAACTTTTTAACAAGTAAACACTATTTCCACTTTCTATCTTTCAACTTTGTAAGCTTTTTTTAAACTTATGGAGAACGTGAGAAACTAGTCAGAAGGCATAACTGTGCCACCCAAATAGCTAAATCAAATCTAATTTCCAGTTTCAAAACAAAAACCTAGACGAAACCGCCCAAACATCATAACCCCTAATTCAACAACTAATATTCAACAACTAATATTCAACCAAAATTCAAAATCAGAAATCTTAATTTCATTGCAAAACATCAAAACCCCAAATTTCCGTCCAAAAAAAACCTAAAATTATTTATTTAAAAAAATTACCTGATTGTGTTTCTTTGATGGACCGATCGGCCGTCGGCGTCGATAAGTCGATTCAGATTCTCTCTGTGTTTCTTTGATGGACCGATCGGCCGTCGGCGTCGATAAGTCGATTCAGATTCTCTCCGTCTTTTGGTGACTGGATCGGACTATCGGAGGAGGAGTCAGCGGGGTGGTCCGAAGGGTGGGAGCAGAGACGGGAAGGAGGAGTTAGAGGCTAACGGAACAGAGACGGAGGAATAGAACGATGTCTCTGTCAATTCAGATTCTCTCCATTTTTTTCTTTTTTTGTGAGCGTCGGAACATAGACGAGAAGGAGGAGAGGAGGCTGACAGAAATAAAGGAGGAGTTGGGTAGGGTTTTGGCTATTAATAAGAGTTTTTTTACTAATAGAACCCCTAATAATTTTTGCATAAAAGTTCTCTTACAAAGTCCACTTCAAAAACTATTAAGGTTCGGCCCTGGGTTCCCCCAGCCCCGGGGCTTGGTGGGCTTACCCCATGGCCGGCCCTGAGTATCCAATATTAACTAGAGATAAAAATAAATAATAATTATAATAACAAATTACCAACGCTGAAAATGGGGCATTAGCAAGAAAATGCCTAATTTTTTGTAGTGAGATAAAAATAAATTATAATTATAATAACAAATTATCGACAGCTACTTTTTTGCATAGGTTAAATAGTACTCCCTTTAAAAGCGTTCTGAAAAAACTTTCCTTAGTTAGTTTGACCCCTAATCCTTTTCAATATTAACATTCTTATTCTAATTAAAATTGGTTATCAACTAAAGCCACTAAGTCAAAATTAAACTTCTGAATTAAAACTCTCTCCACTTTAAACTAATTGACAAAAAATTTATCTAATTAGAATTGGTTGACAACTAAAGAGTAGATAGAAGCTAAGAGGACATCATCATTGTAAGCATTATATGCATTGCATATACAAATATTAACCAATTGATTAATACCAAATTATAGAATTAATTAATGTATAACAACAATTGATTGATTAAAATGTTTTTTGTATTAGTCCTTTAAATCTTTCATATATAGAAGTTAGTTAGTCAAAGCATGGAAATTATTAGTAGCTAATTCAATTCTTAGAGTTACTTTGAAATTAGTCCTTCAAATCAATGATGTAGTTATCAATTCGAGGGACTAATTTCCCTCTAATTGCTTTTCTTAATTGGAGGAGCTAATATCAAAATAACTTAAGTTAGGGATGCAATAACTATAGGGGTGACGTGGGCCAGGCCAGCCCTGACCCATGAACTAGCTTGCTCAACTTTGGTTCGGGCTGGTTCAGACCTGGGCCTATTTGGGCCTCAGTAGGCTAGATTGAGGACTTTATCCTCGAGTGTGGGGCTAGACATGTCGGACGCCCTCTTGGGGCTAAGTTTGGTCTGACCCGGCCAACGATAGTTCGGGTTGGTGGTCAGTCTGCATTCTTTTTTTTTCTTCTAGTCAATTTTTTTTCTTTTCAAAATTTTTGCTAGATTAATATGTATATTTTGAAAAGAAAAACATGTATTCTATTTTTCTAAAAAATCTTAATTGTATAAATTTACAATTGATGATGAAATTATCTAAATGACAAAAGATTCACAATAATCTGAGTGTTTTCAGTAGATCAAAATGATTATAAATATTCATCAAAATATTGAATAGAGTTTAGAAAATCTCTACTACTACTAAAAATACAATTCAAACATCTAAAGGTTACAATTTTCGTTGGTGTAAAAATACACCAAATTATAACTATCAGCTAAGGTGGGTTTGGGTTGGACGTGTGCCGGGTCGAGCATGGATCAGACTTACTTCTTTGTCCGTAGGTTTAGAGCAGAAATCAACTAGACCCACAACCCGAATATATTACGGACGGGGTTAGGATTAGCCCGCTGTGGGCTTGGCCTGGTCTTGACCCAAAGTGGGCTAGGTTGGTTTGGCCTGCAATTTGGACCAGCCCGCGCCTACCCCTAAATAGCTATTCCATTGGGGGCTATGATTTTATAAGAGTTAATAGGTTTTCGTATTTTATAGTCATTAGGAATTAACATAAAAGATTTTTTTTCCCCTTTCCTTTTTAGGTCATAAGAATTCTCTGTCATCTATTATTATTAGATATGAGGTATTGAAGAGACTGATTGCTATATGAGTGACTAATCTTTTCAAATAATTTGTTACTTACATTTGCTTATGATCACGACGACTTGTAAAATGAATGTTAAAGGTACATAAATGTAAGTATTAAGAAAGTTCAAAGACAATATTACAGCATTAAGTATTTAAAAGAAATAATTTCAACCAAGTTATATTAAAAAAATAAACCAACCAATCATGATATTTATTCATGTGCAATGCACAAGCATCCACCTAGTCTTAGTCTATATGAGAAAATACTTCTAGATTGACCTCATATACAAAGCCTTCTTTCAGAAAATTGATAGTACAAAACCTTATTCAAAGTACGGTTCAAGTGAATCAAATACTTCTACGCCCACTCCAACCACCCCGCCCAAACCCCCTCCCCCACGCCCCCCCAACAAAAAAAATACCCAAAAAAAATCAACCCAAAAGAAACAAAGGTAAATAGTAAACATACACGTAGCTTGCAAAAAAGATGACTAGTCTAGACACGAGACATCAAAGAGCAGAATCCGATGTGGTAATTACATTCATTGGACAAGTCACTTTTTTCTTCTAAATTACCGTTTGTATGTACATACATCCCATTGAGATTAAAATCAATATACAGTCTTGTACAACCAGTATTTGTTGCATAAACATCACACTTTCACTCAGGCTAATCTGCACCCCAAAATGCCCACAAACACCAAACTGGCTTCCAATACTTCGTGAAGGGACCCACCTTTGATAAATTAAAGCCAAAAATGATAACCTAGAACCAAGCCATCCACCATATATACATCTTGCCAAGGTTCTTATGTGATACAGCTTCAGCAATTAAGCGCCGAGCCTGCCCCTCCACAGCTAAAGGCAGAGACGGCGCTGCCCCAACCCCAACCACAATGCCTTGAAGCCGTGCTTTTATGTTACTGATAGCCCTCTGTTTATAGATGATAAAAATATATCAGGGAAGTGAGGGGTAATCACCGTAGTATTAGAATGGCGATAAGGATAAAATATATGGTTGATTGCGGATAGACACCCTGTACTGTTACCAAATTGCAGTAGACCTCCACTAGTTCTATTGTTGCAGACAGACCCGTGAGTTTGTGACTGAAAACTTTTTGGCTCTTTTACCCTCCTGAGGTGTATTTCTCAAGAAACAATTTTCTCTTTCTCTGAGGTAAAAAAGGAAAAAAATTTCACTCAGGTGTCTATCTGCAACAATGGAACTACAGGGCTCTATCCGCAATTAACCATAAACTAATATGAGCAGTAAGGAACCATAACCATATTATGGGATGGGATAGGGATGGAAGACTTATCAGACCTGTGCATGAGGGTTTTCAACTTCAACTCCACTGGACTTGTGAGATTTTGTCCACTCCACCAGAGGGTCGTGAATGAAGGTCTCAAGAACACTCATGAGAGTCTCCCTGTGTGTTCTCAGAACAGAAAGAGTGATCTCACTTACCTTCAAGAAGATACCCTCGTAACCAGTAATTCCCAAACCATCTATCATATTCTGAAAGATGAACAAAAACAACAAATGCATTACTAAAAGGAAAGCTGATAAAAACTCATAAATTGCACTACACCACGCTAAAACGCTTGAAGCACATTCCATTATAATCTAGGGTTAATTGCTGATAGACTCCTTGTCAATGTTTTAAATATCGGCCGATAAACTGATATTATCGGCGATTTATCAGTTTTGGGGGGCCTTCCGCTATGATAAGTTCAATTCTAAATCGGTTATCATATTTGGATGTTTATCGCTGATAATGTGACGATAAAGTGAGTTATCGGCCGATATTGTCGGCCCAAAAATCAAAATTATCGGCCTTGGGTTTGAGTTTTGACTTCGAGCAACAAGCACCTATTCAATGCATTTTAAACCCGACCCGATCGGAGTTTCTACCATTGGCTAGTGATCCTAAACATAATTATTTACATTTTGGTATGTTTATATTTCATTAAGTATGGTTAGATTACATTTTAGGGTATTATTTTATGTATAAAAAATCCACTGGGGTCTATCTGCAAAAATTAAAAGTAGAGGGATATTAAGTTCAAAACATTGATACTATAGGGGGTTTATCCACAACTAACCCTATAATCTAACATGCCCTGCAGAACGAGCATCTTATTCATGGCCAAAACCTGAGCTATTTTAGATAGCAAAATTCTTTTTCTAAAACTCACTTTAATTACGTGTCTAGCAGGATTTGAGCCAATATTGCTTTGCTATCATCTTAAAATTCGTGGTGAAGACTGAGGGTAATTATATGATATTCTTCACAGTTTCTTTTATTTGCACTTAAGTACCGCAAAGTTCACCCCACTTTTAAGTTTAATAACCCAAAATTTTATTTTGCACAAAGAACACCCAAAGTTTTTAGAATTTTAACAATAAATTAAAAAAGGAAAACCTTGCAACAGACTGATGTACGGCCAAATGGTGGCAATGAAGGCCTGAAACAAGTCAGCAAACTCTCTTGTAGGGGTGAGCACGGTTCGGTTCGGGTCGGTTTTTATCAAAATTTGAACAACCGAACCGAACCACCTACAATTCAAAACCGAACCGAACCATTACAAATCGGTTCGGTGCGGTTCGGTTCGGTTTGTTCGGTTCTAACTTCATCAAGTATAACTTCACTTCAATTTATCTTTTATATATTATTATTACCCTATGCCAACATTATTTGTTTTTTAACTTCACTTCAATTTATTATTCTTGCTCATGTATGTATACTGTTTTTAAGTGAAGTAACTTGTCCTTTTGAATTAAATACTAGACTCTGACGTTGTAATTTTTTAGTAACGGACTTGCTTTGTCTTTGTGTAGCAAGCTTTGAGTTTGGTCTTTGTGGAGACAAAAAAAGGAGCTGACTCATTAGAACATTGGTTATGTATGAATCAATTCCCTGCAACTGCTATCATGGTGATCGAACACAGTAATAAACCCACAAATCAAAGGCACAAATATATTCGGTTGGTTCGGTTCGGGTCGGTTTGAAAAATTGTCAACCCGACCCGAACCGCCTTACTCATAAAACCGCTTTTTTCGGGTCGGTTCGGGTCGGTTCGGTCGGTTTTTTCGGTTTGAACCCAACCGTGCTCACCCCTACTCTCTTGGACCAACCACCGACGAAGACGAGGATGGAGAATGGCAGCGGACAGAGAATCTCAAAATGGAAGAATTATTCACTTGGGGCTTATTTTTATTGGGTGGGTATTTTTGACTTTGGGACTGAACACCGTAACAGGGCTAAATTTAACTCTAAAACTTTGTCGTATATTTTGGGTAAAATAAAATTTGGGTATTTAAGTGTAACTATCTATGTTGCCTTTATTTACCTGGGTAAGCCTGAAGGGCACCAACTCGGGCTTCTCTAGTTGCAATCCCTTGTCAAATAAGCAGCTAAAATCAACATGGACACAATCACCAGAGGTGGAATCAAACAGAATGTTCTCCCCATGCCGATCACCAAGCCCGACAATGTGCCCGACCATTGACCACACTGCAGTAGTATGTGCATAAGCTAGCCTCGCACGAAACCAAGCAGCTGGCTCCGAGAATGTGGTCAAGAACCACTTGTGGAAAACAGGAGGAAACATTGGAAGAATCTTTGACTTTAGCATCTCATCTTCAGGCATCTTTCCCTGGCACTGGTCATATATTCTCTTGATCATTGGGTTTGTCTTTTGGCGATCAAATTTTCCACAAGTTATATAGATGTCCTGAAGGATGTGCCGAAGCCCACGAGTATTGGGAACCCATTCTACCATTCCACAGTCCTCTGTTAGAGGAATCACTGCAAAAGTACGAATGTAGAGCTTTCTCCTCCGGCTTTCAGGAAATTTAGACAATAATCGGTTGATTGTAGCAGTAAACTCCATCATGCGAGCATCTTTCCTAAGATCATCTTTTGGTTTGCAGAGAAACGGATATTGAATGCCATCATTTCCAAGAAAAATAACCTGGAATTCAACAAAACTGCAGAAACTGAAAAAGATATAATATGAAAGTTTGCATACAGGGCTTTAGATCTGCAAGTAATCTTATTCACATTAAAAGTGCATTCGTGAGCAAAGGAAGAATAACTTGGAGGAATATATTCAGATTAATATTTTAACTGCACCATTGTAGTTGTTGCAAAGAGTGGTTCTTAAAGAAGTGCATATAACGTCATTGGAACAAATAGACTGAGTAACTAAAGAACCAGAACAAAATTATGTAGCTATATAAGAAATCCTGTCACATATAGGGGTGCAAAGTGGTCCGGATTTATCCGGACCGACCGTTACCGTATCCGTTTAGAAAGCGGATATGGTAGGAAAAAATTAAAACCGGTCGGATACGGTTTCGGAAACGGTTATGGTTTCGATTTTGTATCCGGATACGGTTTCGGATACGGTTATCGGGTCGAAATTGCGGATACGGTCCGGATATCCGGATATCTAAAATGGGTATACTACTTCTATTGGGTCGGGTCTATAGCATAAATCTGCAACCCGACCCAAATTAACTCAAAAAACACCAGAACCCTAAATCCTTTTCAATTCCCAGTTTCCCACCCGCCTCCACCTCTAAGCCGACTCCAAGATCCAGTTGTGCGTCCGCCTCCCTCTCCGCCTCCAAGCTTCGACTGCGGCTGCTCGTCGCTTCTGGCCGCCTTAATCCCTCACCCGAGATCCAAGTCAGCACCGGCAATGCGTCCCGCGTTGCCTCCGCGTCGCGCCTCCACCTCAGCCTCAGATCTCCGCCTCCAACTCCGCCTACTCCTCCGCCTCCCGGGTCCGAGCTCCACCTACTCCTCCGCCTCCGGCGTCCGAGCTCCGCCTCCCACCCCGCGTTCAGTGAAGAAAACAATGACTTCTTCTTCTTCTTCCTCATCGAATCAAATCCTTCGTCCACTCTACTCCTTTGGAATTCCATGGCCTGAGCTCAATGAAGGCGTCTCTTACATCGACATCGTCAAATCGACTCTGGTGTCTCTCTTCTCCTCTCCTTCCTTTATTTGCTGCCATTTTTTTTAAAAAAATATTTCCCCCTAATTTTTTTTGCAGGAAAGACCCTAATCGAGCTCTACTCCTCCAAGTACAAGAACTCCGCTCCATTGCAAGGGTAAATTTGTTTTCAAATCATTAAGTTTTCTTGATTTGACGGCGTTTCTCGATTGCGCGCTAACTGTTTGTTTCTTTGTCTGAACCGGTGAGCAGTTGGATGCAGAGAATTAAGAAAGGGCAGGTGCGCTGATTATTGAAGATTTGCAATTTATTTGGGTTTTAGCCTTTGTGGCTCTGACTATTATTATTTTATTGTTTTTTAAAGATTACAGTCGATGGAGATGTGGGTTTTAGTCTTTGTGGTTTTGAGGTTTGTCATACAAGTTAGCAACAAAGTCTATGAGGTAACTTGTCTTACTCGACTTACTTTGTATTTTTTGTGAGTTATTAAAATCATATGTATTTTTCCTCATATCCTATTCATATCTATTTCTCAAATATCCGATTAGTATCCGTATCCGAACCGTACCCGAACCTCTAATATCCGAACCGTATCTGTTTCCGTTTAATGCGGATATGGTAATGTTTTTTGCTTACCGATGAATATCCGAACCGTATCCGTATCCGTTTTCAGAAAGTGGTTATGGTTATGGTAAGGGTCATATCCGAACCGTATCCGAACCGAATGCACCCCTAGTCACATACCATCAGCCATTGGAGGAATATCTTTAGTCAAAATTTTAATTGCGCATTCTTCAGATAAATTTTAACCGCACATTCTTTAGATAAATTGTAACCGCATATTGGAGTTGTTGCACGGAGCGGTACTTAGGAGGAGTGGGTAATCATATCAGAGGAACAAATACCCCTGGTAACTAAATAACCAAAAGAAAATTATGAACTTCTAGAGCTGGATGGATATCGGTATTATATTAAAAATATCTTCTCACATACCATCAGCTCATGGCAAATAAAATTGTCAATAAATTCTTGAACATGATTGACCCACTGCTTATCAAAAAAGTATTAGCTTACCAAATTCTTTGAAGACTTTTTTACTGAGAAAAGTTTATGTAAGCTCTAGTGTCAAGAAAGAATCAATTAAAAAAGTCACCACATCATGTAAACTCTAGTTTCAAGAAAGAATCGATTAAAAAGCCACCACATATAGTCTCCTAGAGATCAAGGTTACAGAAAGCGCTAGGCGGCCCAGATGCTAGACCCGATGCCTATAGCCTAGCCAGTTTTCATATTTTTTATTTTTTTAATTACAATAATTAATAGTGAATGCCAATGTTATAGAAATTAGAAAGCTTAAGGCTGGAAAGCTTAGGTTCAAGACTAGTGCCTAGGTGGATTTCTTTCTTCGTTTAAGTGGTAGTGGAGGAGGTTCCATTGAAGGTCAGACGAGGTAGAGAAGTTGTTCATAGTTGAAAGCTAGAGGAGTTTGGAGGAAGTTGGAGGACGTGGAAGCCGCAACGAAGGAAATCAATGCCTAAAGATTAGGGGTGGAAACGAACCAAATATTTAACAAATAGTTCGGTATTTATTTGCTTAAGTACTTGGTTGTATTCGACTTGATAGTTCATTTAACAATAAACGAATTGTTTTTAGTATTCGGTTCATAAACGGATAGAATTTAACCATAGGTATATTCAATCTGTTTGTTTAATATACTGTTCATTTATATATTACACTTTAGACCTAAAAATTTTATTTATTATATTTTCTGTGCATCCCAAAAGTTTTTTACACGTATAGCCTCATATAAGTAGTTTTTTATTTGTGAATATTCAATTTATCACTAAATTGCATATTCATTGGTTGTATCATATTTGGCAGCATTATAAGAGTAGGATAGGATAAGGAATATTTATCAAATATTTACCAAATATCTACCAAATAATTCATAAAAGACTACATAAAAACTATTAACGAATATTCGCAAATAGTTGTCAAATATTGGAAAAATAGTCGAATCAAATACGAATACACATTTCTTATTCATTTCGAATTTGAATACAAATTCGAATAGTCAAATATGAACCAAATACGAATACGAATACTATGGTATTCGATTTGAATTCAATTCATCCTCCTCTTCCATTTATCCATAAATTTAAGTACATGAATCCTACTCTTCCATAATACATATACCATAGTATTCATATTCGTATTTGGTATATGAATACTATGGTATATGAATAGAAAAGAAAATTAAAACCATAACATATTTACCTTTTTTGGCCTCTGAAGAGATGAGAGGATTTCCGCTTCATCTGCTATTCCGGATATAGTAACGAGGTCAGAAACAGAGCAAACATGACCACTAGGGAGATCCGCAGGACTTGCATCATAACTGGGTAATGTAACAGTGAGAGCTTGCTGAATGGGCAAAATAATTCCTAATGGCATCATCCTCTTGAGGGCACTGAACTCAGTTAAAATATTGATTGTCCTCGACTTTGGCTGCCCTGGATGAAAGCATAACTTGATCAGGTGATCCATTAGGCTTGCGAACTGAGCGAAGAGGGCACTGCTATCACTCCCATGCCTTGACCCTTTTCTTGCTGCCTGAATTATTTCAGCGGCAGCATCACGTCGAGCAGCAACTGTTGACTTAGACACTGCAGCCATCATCCAAAGAGCCTGTTGTGGATACACTTGAAGAACAGAGGTTATAATATGTTTAACAACTCTGACAATTTCTTCATTCTGATGGCAAATACGCGAAACCAACTGTGACAGAACTGTAAGCCATTGATATGTTGGTAGATCCTTCAAACATCCCCTCAAAATGCACAAGACCTAAAAATTACAGAAGTTAGAAATTTTTAACGAGACTGGAGAATTAAGCTAGTGAATGTTTGACTTACCCTAGTATGAACAGTTTTCATAGACTTATGAGAACCATTTTTGTGATATATGCTGCCAAATTCAAACCAGAGGGTTAGGAGCCTGGGTAATGCTTGAAAGAGATGCCTGTGTCCTCTATGAAGTCCTTTAGCATAGTTCAGTAGAACATCTGGAAGGTGAGACCACCAAGGCTTTTCCTCCGATGAAGAACCACCTGCACAACTTGAAGATGACATGACAATGTGCGAAGACTGCTGGTTATCTTCTTGGCGCTTCCTCGCATCAACTAGCAGATCATCGTAATATTTGGCTGTGAAAAAGAATCCTTTCTCCCATTTAGGCTGCATTTCTCTCACTCTACTGTAAAGATTTATAATATCTTCCTTTTGCTTCTGTCCTGTTTGATGTATCCAAGTAGTATAGAGGAGCATGGTCTTAGCCACATCTTGATTATCTTTTGATGCTTGTGTGGCACAGTGTGAAGCCGGATTTGGAAGAACAAGGGAGAGGCTAGTCAGTGATGAGATAGTGGTAGTTCCAAGAATTTCAACCGGCGCTTCTAGCAGTGATTTCTGCAGTTCAGCTATGGCACAGTCAGGCTTTCTCGTGTTCCAGAGAAGCTTTGCCTTCTCTATGTGAACACTTGGAGCACCTGAAGCATCTGCTTCTAATATTGCACGGTGAGCTGTCTCATTGTGTCCAGCAGAACGACAAAGCTTTGCATACTGAAGCCAGCAGTTCCCCACTTGAAAACTCAAATTACTGGCACTGAATACTAATCTGCGGAGAGCCAGAAGAGGCTCCCTTGTCCATAGTGATGGTTGTGTAAACCTAATACGATTATCCCAGTCCTTCATAACTTGAGAAAATCTAGAATCATCTGGACTAAATGATTTCTCCAAGAATGATTCATCTCCAAGAAGGGTATTGAAGTCTTCCAATTCACATAACATGTGAAGTTTTACCACATATGGATATGCACGCATGTAGGAATCCATGCCTGCAGCAGCTAAAGGAACAAGCAAAGCCTGTTTTGATTGAACAAGTTTCTCAGCAACCTTGAACTGATCATTTGCAATCATCGCCTGTATAATTTTTGCGAGATCTATGTCAAAAGAAGCGTTGCTCTCTGACTTGCTACAGGTTAGACCCTCTTTATCAGCACCTGAGAGGTACTCATCCATGAGATCCCATCTTCCTAATCTCCAAGCAGCTTGTACCCCTTGCATGCACCAAGTCTTCTTATAATGAGGTATCCTCGAAATTAGACCATCCACGTGTGTTATCATAGCCTGAAGATGGCACATATTAAGCAAACAATTAAGAACCTCTGAATGTCTCTCAACAGAGGAAGGCTCCATCTGCAAAGCTTGTTCACTAAATGTTAATACTTCTGCCCAGTTCCCGGCTTTTTCATTTATTAGAAGTTGGTCTTGCAGGCTCAAAGATTTCCGGAGGTTTGCTAAACCAGAGAGACCATCAGGTTCATCTAGGCTACCATATATCTCCATCAAAAATGATATATCTTCATCTGCAAAGATGCCACTGCTCTCAGCAGCAGGATTAGAGGAGCCAGACGTCTCTCTTACATGTGACTCAAAGTACATCAGTGCACGAGCATGAGCATGACATCTGAAGGAGGCTTTTGCAAGGGTTACTTTAGGAATGGCAGATAACAGCTCTGAAACGTTATTACACTGTATCAAAAGTTGATTTGCATCAGATCCGGATCCATCCACACTCATCATTCTTGATGGTTGTTTCGGTACGGAAGGACGCAAAGGTTGGGAGAGAGCAAGTTCTTGTTTGGTATCATCCACCCATTGCCCAAGGTTATCAAGTAAAGTAAAGACAGCCTGGATGCAGACTTCACTTTGACCATTGACGGTAGCACCACTATTCTCTGAAGCAGCAGCATTGAGAACAGATAAGATTTCCTCAGTAATGCTCTGGCGTTCCTCAAGGGTACCATGACAAACAGCATTCAGAACTAAATATGGTAATAAGTACCTGGCTGTTGGCATGTCATGCCTCACTATCCCACGACATGCACTAAAAATACTGCCCCTTGATCCACTTGCATGTACAGTTAGTTTTCTGATCCAAGAGTATATCCACCTTCTGAATGACATTGTAGGTCGATAAATTGGGCCGACAATTGCCAAATCAGTCACATTCGGGAGTTGAAATCTTGAGGTCAAGCATGGTGCAATTATTTCCTTAACATAGTTTGAAAACCGCTCCCATAATCTCTGACCCCTGTTGCTACCACCAAGTATCTCAATAGATTCCTTAGGAGTATTTCCATTACCTGATCCTTGGCAACCTGCTAGTTTTAGTAGCTCCTGTATAGCCAAGGCAGCTGAATCTTGGATAATGGTATCTGAAGCAGCTCTAAATGCCCTGGCAAGATGATTGTGGATTAACTCAAAAATAAGATCGTCATCAGAGCATTCAATCTTGAAACGGTGGCATGAGATTCCTTTAAATTTAGCAGGGTCCACTGCACCAAGCGCCCCTAAACAATCAGCACATACTAATTTCAGCCTTTGACCAACTGCAGTTCTCGATTCCTCTGCGCATCCCTTCAGCAAGGATGTAATAAGTGAGCTTATAACATCCAAATCGGAGACAGCTTCACCAGCTATGAGAACAGTGACATCTTCTCTTCTTGCATTCAGCAGTTTGCTAAGTTCACAAGCGACCATATACCTTACATTTAAACTCTCGTGATTAAGACCATCAGCAGCATCTTGCAGTTGATCCCTTAGAGTTATTGAACCCCTTGCTTCCTGTATAACTTTGTTTGTTTCAGATAAAGCTGCAATACTGGGCAACAGCGGAAGCTCACGTATTTGTTGCTTTAGTCTGAACTTGTTCTCAACAACGAGGTCTTTTAAAATGTCAACCATCTTGCTCAAATGTAAGGAAGGATTATCTCTGCAACGTTCCAAGCTCGGAACAAAGGCAGCAACAACTTGAGAAATCACATGCTTAGTGCTAGAGGGTGAAAGTTTGGCTAATTGCTTGATAAAATAGTGTAGGACAGTGAGACCCTCAGATTGAAGGTAATCTTTTTCAATGGAATGTAATAGAAGAACCATAATTTTTGGCGCATGAGTGCTAAGATAAGAGCCCATCATCTCAATCAGCTTCTTTATACGTTCCAAGGCCTGCTTCTGCAACAATAAATCATCAGAATGAAGCAATTTCCTGTCAATGCTATTAAGAAGACCAACAAAATGATTCTTGAGAAACTCTGGAAGGTCATCGGAACCAGTCAGGATTTTAGCGACCTCCTGGATCATCTTAGTAACTCTTTCTGGCCTGAAAAATAATTGACAGATACAAACAATGCCTGATGAAACAAGCTACCATGAAATGTATCAGTTTCTTGAAATGTAAACTACAGGAAACACTTTACCTTTTCTCTGTCTCATCCCTGTCCTCTTCACCGGGAAAACATAACAATTCATCAAGGAGAGCAGGCAAAGCAGCAGCAAAGATTTCCTTAGTGTCAGATCCTGTCTGGACATGATAGAACTGCAAAACAGAGGATAGCTCCTGACCATTTGCGTGAAGAAGAGCAAAAGCAAGAACCTTTGGCAACCAATTGACAATCAGTGGAACTACATCCATATTTAAATAGTTTGCCAATTCATGCAATGTGATGATCGCCTGATCATTATCCTTATGTGAAATCACAAGCTTTGGTATGACAAAAGGAACCATTTTCCCGATAAGTTCCTCAGTCTTTATTCCTACGACAGCCTCAGCAAATTCTCTGATCATGTCCGGGCGACTGACAAGTCTTGCAGAGAGATACTCAAATAACTCATATCGAATACGAGAGAACCTTGAAAGGACAAGTTCAAACCCTCCTTTAAGATGGGAGGAGCACGACCTATGTATTAAACATGATGCTGTTGTTCTTACTACCTGATTTTTGTTATCAAGCTGATCAACAAACAAGATAAGAGAATAAAAGAAAAGCTCCCCATGAATGTCACCAGCACTCATAATCTCAGCTGTAGATTCCAAAAGAGTCACTAAGATCTGCGGATCTTCGGTTCCGGCCAAAGCATGTTTTATTTTATCCAAGAACTTCTGTTCTTTTGTCTTCTCACTTGTATCCCATTCTGTAAATAGTAGATCCAGAACATTTCCCTCAAGAAAGCAACTTATCTCGGCAGAAAATGCTTCCCTAATAGCCTTTATATCATGTAGTAGTAAGAAGTCAATACTTTCTATCCATTGCAATCTCGTTTTAAGCAGCGTCTCTCGAGATGCATGCCTAAGAACCCGGGGTAACACCCGAACACAGACAACTCCAAACTCTTCAGATGACTCCCGGTAAAGAAATTGAAAGAAGAGGGACTGTAAATCAACGAAATTAAAGTCATTGTCATCCCTATTAGCTTGTGACTTAGGAATGTGTATAACCTTGCCATGTTGCACTTTATCATGCTCAAATCTTTTGTCACATTGAGGACACCAGAAGCCTGCAGAAAGGATGTCCATTGTTCGAGTTTGCATGCAATAGTTATCACCTGCGAACAACTTGCAAGTACCGAGGTCGAGATCATCAATGGCATTAGAGGAGCCATATAAACATGATAAGTAACCAAGAGCGAGAAGAATGGTTTTATTAACTTGATAACTGCTACTGCTACCGATTAACCTGAAAAATTGGTGACAGTTTATGATGACATAATAAATAAAGCAGGTAAACAAAGGCATACTCAAAATAAATCTGTAACCTAGCTTGATCCACTTGATTATATATTCCATTTGGTGCAATTCTTACTGACCATCGAGGAAAAATCAATGCTTTAGTTGGCAAAAAAATAGCAATAAAGCTGACACTTACAAGCATGTTATGAGGCAAATTATGAGATAAAATAGCTCTGGCATCTACCATCAAGTACTTTAACAGGTAAAATAACCAACTGGTTAGGTTTAGTGGAACTTAAAAAAATTTTGACATGCATATTACTGATATTACTGTTAAACATATCAATAATATTAGTTCAGAACAGTTTTCTGAATGGAAATAAGAGAAGACCTAGAAGCATGAACAATAAAAAGTAAAACAAAGAAACCAATGGCTCATTTCCTATTGGATTACTTGCTTGCTGCTATAAAGCTTCAGCCTGTCAATGCCTTATCTTTCCCTTTTTCATTTTTGACTACGTCCTGCCTTTTCCGTTTCTTATTTTAGTCAAACTCCTTACTAAAACAAAAATTATAGGGATAGTATACTAAGTTAAAACTGAACATTTTTAAATAATTGTTTCTTTGCCAATCTTATTTGATTGTATACTAAAATAGCATATGGCTATTGCTTTTGCATCTTATCCAAGATTCTCTCCAATCCATACTACAAAATGTAAATACCACATGCCAAATAGTTCCTAGGATCAAGACTCGTCTATGGCATTATGTTACTAAAAATATTTGCACTTTCCTCCAAACCCTCACATGTGACTTATCGTTCCCACCCTAAATAATTGTCCTTTAAATCAGGCAAGTGCCCTATTGTTCCCTCCAAACCTTGACAACCTGGTGGCTTTACATGTTGCTGATAATCTAGTCATTCATGAAAGAATGAAGCACATGAGAATGCATTTCCATTTTGCACTGGATGTGGTAATGGAGCACAACATAGTTACTAAAAATGTAACATCTAGATGTCAGGAGATGTTCACAATAAACATTGCATAAAAGTTCATTTGCTAATGTTTGTAACAAGTGGTTTTGTATTAAGTATGCGCGTTCTAACTTTACAGCGAGTAGTTTACTTATCATGTATGTCAAGGAATATTATAAAAGGACCATGCTAACAGTTTCCTGTATGCTTCTAATTTACCTCATATATCTGTCTCTCCGTTGCTCGTTTCTCATCTAGTCTTTTATATTCTAACATATTTCAGAGGAATAAAGAGAAAAAAGTATAAAGGGCAAATAGCATAACAGACTTCTCCATGGTAATTCCTTAAACTATCAGTACAAGGGCGGATAAGAAAACTAGGAAGTGAAACAAACAGAGCACTCTTTCAACTTCTCTGTCCTTAACTGATAGATATAAATTGTCTAAGTTGTGTCAGTCTCATCATGATTTGAAAAATAATATTCTTGAATGCAATTGTATATTTATTATCATTATCATCATCTTTTAACCACTGAAAGTTCAGCTACTGAGAGCTAATGTACTTTAAGAAGGCTCAGTGCTAGATCTTATTTCCATCTTATGTGATTTTAAACAAGATGGCAACTTTTATTTGATTACATGTTTGCAAACCTGAGAAATTGACTATATTAGACATGGGGCGCTCCATTCTCTATAAGCCTTAAGAGGAAAAAAGAATAAGAAAGTAATTACTACATGAATGCATGTGCATATATAACTGTGATAACTTGGCAGTAACATCAGAAGTATCAGATCAATGTACAAAACAATGAACTACTTACTCCAGTCGTCCAAACATGTTTTCCAGAATTCTATAACCTGAGCACAAGATAATCACAGGCATCGAACTAACAGCTTCTATCTTTACTTCTTCATCGTCATCCTTAAGAGCCATGTCAAGCAGTCGTAAAGCACACTGATCATTAAGATTAATTCCAGCCTTAGAAAAAATTTGAATAGAAAGACACTTTATTTTCCTGATGGAGTCAGTATGACAGACTAAGGCATGATTGGACCAGGCCAGTTCTAGCAAATTTATTAGATCAAGAATTCTTGGATTGACAGAGGTTAAGCTGTTTGCATCACCCAAGAAATTTTCATCTTTCTGCAACTTCATCTTCTGATGAAGACTCCCTGCAGCAAGAAGAGAATTTATTCAACAGTGTAGAACATATAAAATCCAGAATTTAAACTACTGACAGCTCTTGAACATGCAATTTGTATGGTTTTGTACGATCAGAACATGTTCACATTGGCGAACTAAACTCATGTCATCTTGACATTGCATAGAAAGAAAATTTCTCAAAAGGAGGGGAAAAAAAGAACAGTCAATTTCTTTTCCCTTCCAGATTTGTTAAAATTATTCCTGTGAAATAGTACCTTATCATTTCAATATGAGATCAGCTTTAAGAATCGAGAGGAATCAGAATTCAATGCTACTTAATCTAAAATACATCCAAAAACATGCAAGAAACCAACCAAGATATATCTGCAATAGAAACTCATTTATAAGTAACATCCATATAAACAGGCCAAAATGGCATTAAAGCTTGACGTTCTCGCACAACCAGACCTAGTGGCTAGTAAATTAAGTATTTGCAGCTTTAATATCTCACAAATATGAGAATAGTCTATTACATAATGTGAAACACTGCCGAAAAATATGCCAAACAAGGTGATTAAGGGTGTGTTTGGTTAGTAGTAGTTGGAACAATAAATGTTAATGGTGTTCCAACTCATGGCTTTGCAACACTCTTAAATTTGAGTGTCGTTCCAACACCTCTATTTTGGGTTATTTTATTAATGCCACAACCTTTTGGTGTTGCAACATCTAACCAAACAAGACTTTTGAATTTTAGATGTAGTTGGAACAACATGGTGTTTCAACTACTCCTAACCAAACAAGGTATTAAAAGAAGCCCTCAACCCTTATAGAAAGTTTTCCTAACCTTTAACCCCTTCAAATGCCAAAAATGATATAGAGGCTAACTTTCTTCTTCCAAGGACGGGATAAGCAACTTAACCCTTCATCATTAACCTATAGCTAAGTTGGGACAAAGAACAGTGAGTTGATCTGGTCTAGGGAAACAACATTACTGTTTAAACATAAAGACAGTGAGAAAATGTTATACGCTTTATTTACATGTTTGTTACAAACATAATTTGCAGATATCACAAGAAAAGCTTGCAATTTGCCACAAAAAAAATCTGAATGTAAGATGCTTAAAGAGATGAAGATCCAACCTGTAGATAGTAATAAGCTATGAACAGCTTCCAAGTAGAGTGTAAAATCAACTTTGAGTTGACATGTATCCTTTACCTGCAGAATTTTAACATTAACAAGTTTTGGGACTTAAAAAGAAGAATGAAACATAAAAAAAGTTTGGTAGCACTAATGAAACTTCTCTGAGACCTGACTGCATATCCAAGGTATCCAAGAGAGCACTTGGTGAAAAATGGTAATTGATAATGTGGTGTCTGGAAAGCCATGAAATGCAATGCAGAGGATGCTAAGGGCCACTACAGAAATTTCTGGTGTCAAAGATGAAACTTCAACATTGTCAGGCTTTAGACGATCAACAAATGAAGCGAGTTGAGAGTGGAGAACGCTTGCACACTGTTTTTCTTGTTCACATGGAGAAAATTCAGTAATTTCAACACCAATGTGTTCATTAGTTGATGGAATTAATACAACTTCACTTGTCTTTTGACGCTTCCTCTGAAGATAGTTACTCTCTTGGGCTGATCGTTTCTTGCTGACTTTTGGGACATCAAATTTTTTGCCTTGGCAATTAAGGTCATCCTCTCTAGCACAATCAGAAGCAAGAGTACTAATCGCCACTCGAATGCATTCTATCAATGAGAAACAAGGTTTTGGAAAGCAAAGGATATTCACCAGCATTCCAGGCCTCCAAATATGCAGTGGGCAAATTTTAGCAATTCTAATGTAAGCATTGCACAGTGCTACCTGCAATGAGCTTTGAAGTCAGTACCTACCATGCACTCACTAAATCCTTCATATTATAGACAGACTACACATATAACAACAAAGAAAAACAAATATGTTTAAACCTGCAGTTCATGACTTTCTGTACTCTGCAAGGCTTTAGGGAAAACATTGATTATCTCAATGGCAGTTGATTCAACTACAACAGTTGAACATGTTGAATGAAGCACGTGGAGACAAGCACCCATAGAAGAATCATAAACAGAGTTTCTGCAAGAGATTTATCAATGGACCCTGAAGCTTTAGGAAAGAAATTAATTAACAAATCATATAAAAATGGTATAAAAAGCGGCAAGTAAACAACCATTAAGGCATTATACATGCTAGAAGAATCCAGTCAAGTTATTGGAAGTCATATTTATAGACGTGTGAAACTCAGGAGCCAGTCACTCTGTTGCTGGAAATTTTCGGTCAGGGAAAGTTTTAATTTCCAACATCACTTCAGGGGTTACTTGTGGCACAAGTTCAATAAGGCACCAGTATCAAAAATAAATCAATATCTCCCAAAATATATTTGATAATTGTCAAACTGCATCGAAACTTATCATATGAAAACAGAAAAGGATATAATTTCTTTAGGATTTTAGTTCCTAAAATCAGATTTTTGTAAACATTGGGACTATCTTTGAAGTCAGAATATGCATATCATTAATATCAATATCAAATTATCTGTTTCCTTTAAGCGATAATTTTTTACCCTTGATTTAGTTAAATCCATTAGGTCCATAACCTGCAGAGTTATTAAGGTTTATCAAGTATAAATTAACGAACCAATGAAAAAGATGTATAGCATAATCTTGTTTTCCTTCTGTTCAAATTATTTAACTCAAACATGATGAGTCCCTCATAGGTGAGATGTTAAATCTTGTTGGTTTTTGTTTCAAAGGAAAGTGTACATACAGATATGAAAAGCATGTTCTACTACGACTTTGGAGATCTAAGTTTCTCTTAGTGATGTATACTTTGGTGAAATTATGTATTCCACAGCTAAAAACACAGTGCAATATTCAATATTACTCCGCAAAACTAAAAGCTCTTGCAGAAAAGCTGTACAATAATATAAGGATGTGATTGAACAAATATATTGCAATATAATGAGAGCTAATTGTTATCTCCATATAATATATCATGATTTCAACATTCCAAGCTTTAGTTACCAAGTTTCACATGTCTTCTCAGTTTAAAACAAAATATCTACATTATACCATTTCAGCTCCTTCTCAAATTGGTAAATAAAACTTTGGTTATACAAAATAATGAAGAATTTATAAGAGAACTTGGTATGCTGTAATGGACTAAAAGAGATTAATAACTATATGGAAAGAATTCAATTTAAATTAGTTTGTCCAAGATGAAGTTAAATATCACCAGAAAATAGAACCATAGAAAAATGAAATATTCAAGATGACTGCTAACCCAACACATAAGCACGCTATGAAGAGTGATTCTGTTATATATTCTATTTTCTGATGGAGCTGCACATATTAATCAAAGAAGATTTCTATACGGACGAGAAACCACCAATTCTCAGTCTCAAGTCTTATCCTTATCAAAGTTAAACTCTAAAACACAGCTTGAACCAAAAATGTAAAGAAATAGATGATAAAACCCACACATATGATGATTTGTTACTATTCAACGGTAAGAAAACAAATGAAGCAACTGTAAAAATGTTAGTCTACCTGAAAATTGCAGTTTCTTTGTCATTGTGTTCTAGTATACATGTTATTGACCTAATAGTATTCTCTACTGGAATGATCTCTTCATCTATTATTGTCGTTGTGATACGTGCAAAATCATAACAAGCCTGTTCAAGCAAAAGAAGACTTGTCAAGTCAATTAGAAGGCAAAAGAACTCAAAAGGATTAAGAAATCTCCAAATTAGCAACAAATCACCCACCCACCATATGTAACGCTGCATCAGCAAAGCACAAAAGAGAACAAGCAGAAGACACGAATGACATTCTAACAAGCCCTTCCACATAGAGAGTTCCTTCAGTCAAACATTTGCTGACAAGCTTAAGTATCCATCCAGCAAACAGCTTCCATCTCGACTTATCAGTGAGATCAACCAACACTCCAGGACCATCGGCAGGCCGACAACAAGCAGGAAGTTCAAAAAGTGTAGGTACAGCAGAAATTGCGGTAAATGACTCGGAGAAACACTTCAATAATACTCTACTTGTGTTGTTTGAGTGAAGTGACGCGACATATAGGATATCTGTGTATCAAGAGATCAAAAACATAGATGGAAATTTATTGAGCACACAGGAAAGAATTGCTGTTCATCTTTCTCCATCTAGATTCTCTTGAAAGCTTGTTCATCGTTTCCATGAGCTCAAATTTTGGGAAGAAAATATGTATGCATTATACCAATTGGACTTCCAGGTTTAAGGGCAAGCATCATTCTAACCCATGTATACCAGGAGTTTGGTTTTTCCCATATACTAGAGTCTGTGAATTGCAGAACCTTAATGCACGAAATAATGAACTAGGCATTTAGTAAATCATCTTATATTGGGGAAGTGACTTGATCCTAAAGAAGGGTAATCATGTTTTATTTTAGAAAAGTATATATTACACAATTACATTAGTTTTCCACCGCGAGGCTAAACAAGAGTCTCTAAATTCTCTAGTATACTAACTACTATGTTCTCCCTCTCAAGCCGAAGCATATGTCTAACATGTCCATCTTGTTATACAATAACAAAAAACTTGTTTTACTTAATAAGCATCAGACGTTATATGTAAATTAAAAAAAATGTCATGTGTGGAATCTGACAAGGATGAAGATGACCAATTTCATATATAAAGGTTTACCTACATATTGAAGTGATGATGATGATGGAGAGAATAGAATTGATACCTTCAATCAATTCCATGGCGTCCAAGAAGAATTGGCGGTAGGCTTCTCGCTCCCCAGTGCGCAGAAGGGAAAGAAGAGATCCAACTGTCTCAAAGATTACTCCATGTCGGGAACTAACATAAATAATCACAAGGAAACAAGATCAATTTGACTCCAAATCAAGCTTAACGTCTATATATTGCATTTCCCCAAAAATGGATGGGAATCAGGCCAACTTCCTATAAAATTAAAACACAAGCTGAAATTTCACATTTCCATCCAAAAACTTGGCAGTTAATCCTGATAACCCAACTGTACTGTTAGACCCAATAATCTGAGCCATTCTCGAAGGGTCAATTTAGTCTCATATTTGATTAAAACGGGAGTCAACTATGGGTTTATATCAGATTTGGGTTCCCTCATTCTAATAGGGAGCTTTTAGGGGTGAGCTCTCAAGATAACTTACAACTGGTATCAGAGCCAACTCCATATTCCCAGTTGCAAGCAACCAAAGCAGGTGGTGACATTGTGTTCATTCAGTACTAATCCAGTGCAAAACCAAAAGGGTAAAGTAGGTATTGTAGTGTTCGATGAAGACTAGACTAGCGCAAAGCTAGCCCATGTGTGCACAAGACAGCGGAAACATGGTGGTTTATTAGAATCCATTTAAAATTGGGAAATTTTGCAAAATAGACCGTTTTTGCTAATTATTTAGCAAAATAGACCGTTTTGCTAAATAATTAGCAAAATAGACCTCTTTTGGCCAACAGGTCAAAAAAAGGTATATATTTTGCAAAACGGCTCAGAAAACATACGGGACTAGTAGTCCCGTATGTTTTAATCACGCATTAGTGAAATTTTCTACTCAGAAAACATACGGGACTAGTAGTCCCGTATGTTTTCTAAGCCTTGTTTTTCAAAATCGACCTCTTTTTTTCAAACGAGGTCTATTTTGCTAATTATTTTTCAAAGTGGTCTATTTCGCTATATATTTCATAAAAATGGTCTATTTTGCAAATTTTCCCTTTAAATTTGACTAAATGGGGAAGTCAATTATGGGTTTCTGAGAGATTTGGTTATCCTCGCTGAAGCAAACTAGCTTTCAAGGGTCAGTTCACTTATATCTCTTACACATTCATAATATTAAATTTAAGCTCAAAACATAAAAGCTAATAATTGGTACTACCAATACTACTAACACTAAGATTAACACTTATGTCTCGTTTGGTATGCGAGAATGAGTGGGAATGGAATGACAATTCTCACTTCTCACTCCTTCGTACCAAACATGACCTCATTTTAGGAGCTAGAATGCTCATTCTCACTTCCCCTCTCATTCTCAAATTATGTGGGAATGAGCATTCCCAATAACATGGTAGGGAATGGGCATTTCCACTTAAGTGGGAATTTAAAAAAAATGTGAAATTTTCAAAACAAACCCGTTTATAACTTTATTCACCAAAATCAACTCATTTTAAACATATTCACAAAAATCGACCTAGTTTTAACTAGGTCAAAAGATTTCTTTCTAAGTGGTCTAGATTGCCAACCCCCGACTAATTATTGACCTGGTTAATTAACCATCTAAATAGTCGGGGTTGGCAACAGTGACTATTTCGAACTGCAGTTTTGGCCCCCACTACTAACCCAAGTAATTAAACTAGTGTCTAATTAGTCGGGGTTAGCGACCCCGACTGATTAAGAAAACGTATTTTTTAAAATCAACCCAGTTTCAGCCAGCACTTCTGACGTGGTAGGGAACGGGCATTTTCACTTAAGTGGAAATTTAAAAAAAAGGAGAAATTTTCAAAACAAACCCGTTTATAACTTTATTCACCAAAATCAACCCATTTTAAACATATTCACAAAAATCGACCTAGTTTTAACTAGGTCAAAAGATTTCTTTCTAAGTGGTCTAGATTGCCAACCCTCGACTAATTAGTGACCTGGTTAATTAACCTTCTAAATAGTCGGGGTTGGCAACAGTGACTATTTCGAACTGCAGTTTCGGCCCCCACTACTAACCCGAGTAATTAAACTAGTGTCTAATTAGTCGGGGTTGGCGACCCCGATTGACTAAGAAGACGTATTTTTTAAAATCAACCCAGTTTCAGCCAGCACTTCTGACGTAGGCGAAACTGGGTCGATTTTCGTAAATGAATTTGAAATGAGTCGATTTTGGGGAATAAAATTGTAAATGGGTCTATTTTGAAAATTTCTCCTACAAAGCTTCCAAATATGTCCATTCCCACTTCATTCTCTAAATTACACCCAAAAGTGACAATAAAAATGAACATTCCATTCCTATATTAATTTGATACTATTCCTTTCTTCATTCCATTCTCACTTTACTCGATTCCCGCATACCAAACAAGGCGTTCGAGACTATCATTTTGAGCTGGAATAACAGCTAAGGTTTGAATAAAAGCTAATGGTTGATGCTACCAATACTACTAACATTAAGATTAACACTCAAAAGGCTATCGTTTTGAGCCATAACAAGAGCTAGGGTTTACATACCCAAATGCTGGTTCAGCAAGAAAAGGGAGAATGCGTCCAACAACCGGCAGCACAGCAGCCGCCTTGCCATGATAGAAAACTCCTGGAAAATTACGGGCAGTGTGCGCCAGCAGCTTCAGCACCGCCGTCACTTCTCGCTCATTAGCTAACAAAATCCCCCCAAAAATTACCAAAGATCAAAACTTTATAACTAAATATCAAAAAAGGCGAGATTATATATTCATTGAGTACCAGTGGAGGAGGGGTTGACATAAGCGTGGAGGAGATTGGGGAGGACGACGCGGAACCTGGCCTCTAATGGGTCCTCACCGGCCGCGGCGCGCGGCGGAGGAGGCGGCGGCAGCGGTGGAAGAAGGGGAGGAGGCGGTGGCGATTCGCTCGCGGAGCTCGTGGATGAGACTAGAGAGATTGGCCATTTAGGGGTTAGAAAATTGCCCCCCTCATTTTTCAAAGGTGAGGGCCGTGGTCGTGAATTTTAGTTCGGAGTTTTTGAACAGTTGGGTATTTGAGGGAGGAGGGATTCGAGTTGTTGTTTACTTGGGCTTGCTCCGGGTTGGGCCTTGGAGAAAGGATTTGTCATTGGGTTCTCTTTAATCCCACTTTGGTATGTCACTAATTTACTGTACCCAGGAGGGGCTTTGCTAATTGATGGCCAACTTTGCTACTTTTTGCTTTAAATAAATAAGTTGCGTCGTACCTCAATAATTATCAAGACCAATAAGAGTGGCCACATGGTAATTAACTGACCGACTCATCCGCAAGCATAGCTCGGATGATAAGCCGACCAACTCGCTTCGTGATCCAAATCAGAGGCGAAAGGCACTCCTGATCCAGCAGATCCCGACTCCGAGACAAAAGGTGTTCTCCATTCGGACCAAACACAATGTGTCTCGATCAGTGGACAGCCTGACAAGTGTCATCAAAAGTCATGTTGCACAATCTGCGCCAACACTTCGCCGCTCAGTTGCCATAAAGTAATTAATGTAGCGTCGGTCATTATGACCTTTCGAACCAGAGCCTTTAAAGCTCATCGGACACACTGTTACTCCAACAGTCCCACCACTGTGTAAAGGCCACTCGGCCAATCAGCTTCTGGCACGTGTAAAATAGGATCTGAACCAATACTGCATACGCTCGGATGAAATTACCTACGTGCCCCCATAAACCCTCTATAAATAATGATGATTTTCACCAAACCTAGGTACGTAATTTTACACATAAAAAGTCAACAAGACTATATTTTGCTTTTCTCTTCGAATTGATAGACTAAGTCAGTGACTTGAGCATCAGAGGGCATGCAAGAGGAAACAACTTATAGTGCCTCTAACCTTTGTTATCTATGTAGCAATGAATAACGCAAGATCTAGAACGGGAGATTCAACCATCAAAGACGACTAAGGGACTATAAAAAATTGAGTTTAACCCTTCTCAATCACATAATCAACATCGAGATGTAAACAGTTTGGCGCCCACTGTGATGTCTCTTTTTCTCATTTTGAAGAAATGATTGATCTCTGGTTTTCGGACCTTGAAACCAAAACCTACCAGCGCCGCTCAGCACTATGGCAGCAAAAGAGTTCCACTAAAAAATGGAGAACAAAGCTAAGTAAATATTATGGTTGTCATAAAATGTAAAACATTTCAGAGAATACATCCACAAAATATAATTAAATTGTAAAAACCTTTCTGTAAGTAAGGACTCAGCAACAAAGACCAAAGATCTTAGTATCTTTTTGAAGTAAAACCAAGACATGAAGCTCTTTCCACTCGATCTTCATCGACTCTGCAGCGAAGACCAAAGCGCTTGGTATCTTTTAAGAGGAAAACAAGGCATGAACTAAGCCCTTGGTATCATCCTCATGAGTAAAACCAAAGCATAGAGCCATTGCCACTCAATCTTCATCGACTTGACAATGAAGACCAAAAACTTTAGTACTTTACAAAGTAAAACCAATGCATGAACCAAGCCCTTGGAATTGTCCTCGCGAGTAAAACCAAGACATGGAGCTCTTGCCACTTGATCTTCATTGACTCGGCAGTGAAGACCAAAGACATTGGTATATTTTTAGAAAAAAACTAAGGCACGAACTAAGCCCTTGGTATCATACTCACATGTAAAACCAAGGCACAAAGCTAATGTCGTTCGATCTTCATCGACTCAGCAAAGGAGACCAAAGACCTTGGTATCTTTTCACAGTAAACCAAGGCATGAACCAAGCCTTTGGTATCATTCTCATGAGTAAAACCAAGGCACAGAGCTCTTGGCGTTCCATCTTCATTGACTCGGCAACAAAGACCAAAGACTTTGTTATTTTTTTAGAGTAAAACCAAGGCACAAATAGAAGAAATGGCGGCTAGGCCCTAGCAAAAAGCCTCTAACAAACCGTAGGTGCATGATACCAAGGAGCCACACAATCTTCGTTGTTGTACTTAGAAGATAAGAAGACTTGTGATTCGGTCCTCACTAACTCATTCAAAATGTCCCAAGAATCAAAAGCACACATGAGAAATTGCTTGTAAACCAATTGCGAAAAAAGCAAGTCACCAAAACAAAGGCTTTTCATTCATTTAAAAAAATGTATTACAGACTTCCTTACAAAAGACTCGCTACAAGAATTACATCCTCCTCAAGAAGCAATGTCAGGAGCATGAGCCGAAGGCGAATCCGAGCTAGGCACATCCGACGGAGGGGAGTCAAGCTTCTTAGATGAAGAAGACGGATCAGCATCATCATCAAGGCTCTCTCTCGCATCTTTGTCAGTAGTCTCCTCCTCATCCATTTCATCAGCAACTTGTTCATCCATCTGCACTATCCCCAATCCACCCTGTGTAAACAGTTATAATATATTCTTCCTGGTCTAATGTTTAGATTGGATCTAAGAAGTGAACGTCCATGGGCTAAACACTTTAAATGAGCCCAAAATCAAGCCTACAACTGACTATAACGAACCTCGCCCAAATAAGCACATGAACATCACCATACAGCCTACTCGGACATGACCCAATCAAGTCAATATTGGGCCATGAGTTAGTTTATGCGAAGATCGCCATTCGATATTAGCGAGCTTCACCCACAACTCTCCATGTGGGCTACATCACTCGCGATCCAAAGAATAAGGTCCACCCATGATCAAGTGGACCTCATCTCAACTCTTTTAGTGAGCTTCACCACACATAGTTACTGGCAAACTTTGTGTTTGAGCCTTTTGGTGAGCCGTAACCGCTCTCCTACTCTCTCCTAAATTAAAGGCCACTTACTCTGCTTATGGAGAGGGCATTCTCTCTCTCTCTCTCTCTCTCTCTCTCTCTCTCTATTAAAGGCCACTTACTCTGCTTATGGAGAGGGCATTCTCTCTCTCTCTCTCTCTCTCTCCTCTCTCTCTCTCTCTCTCTCTCTCTCTCTCTCTCTCTCTCTCTCTCTCTCTCTCTCTCTCTCTCCGCCTATAAGAGGAAGAGGAGAATGTTTGTTCAAGGGGATTACCTACTTAGAGATTTGAACTATCCATATTAGACACTCAAGCATTAGACTCTATACACTCCTCATGGATCAGCGATCTTCGAATTTAGGATTTAAGAGAAGATTGAGCTATCTTCCAAGAGATCATCTCAAAGACCAGCAAGAGAACCCTTCATCTCAGTCAGATTGTCAACAGAGTACACGATTGATGCTCCATCGGCACACAAAAAAGAACCCCATTGAATATAATTTTTTTAGTTTAATGTAAGTCTTCTAATTATAATCTAAGCTAATCATAATTTTAAAAGACCTAAAACAGGATGGTGGCTCTGTTAGGGACTTCTTTCTCCTCCGACGAGAAAACTATGTCACAATTTGACACCAAGATCCTCGGGTCTTTTGCAAAATCGCTGGTCCTCGAATTTGACAAAGCAAAATATGAGGAATACATTTCCTCCAACCAATCCACGATGGCAATTGTGAGGAGTTGTCGTAAAATTCATCGCAGTGTGAATCTAGGATCTAAATCCACATCCACGTGTGTAAAGGCAACCTTCACCAAACTCAGTTTTCTAGTCTATCGAAAACTTTACAATCTCACACTATTACAATCACACTCTACACCCTCTAAGTGTTGGTCTCTAGCCCGTATCTCCCTCAAGTGTTAGGAATTACAACCTACCTCTAGGTATTACCACCTACCCCGCTCCTCTTGGGACGACCCTGTCTCTCACCACACACTCCCCTCGGTGTACAAGTGTATTCCAAAGTGATCTCATAATTAAGCACAAATACAACAATGATTGTTTTCTACTGTGGATGAGAACACAATGAAAGCTCACACTCTAAGTCACAAACCTACAACCCCAAATTATACTATGAATGTAAATATAATAAGCTCAATAGGTTGTGTGTGAACAAAGAGATAAATTTAAAACAAACTAAACTCAATTATGAAAATCTAGCTTATAGAGATGATAATCAATAAACAATGTAAATATAAAGCTAAAAATTGAGTTTAGAAAAACTTCTCTATTAATAACAAGAGAGAGAAGGATAAGAGTTGAATACTCAAACACCAATAGATGATCTCCCCAAGCTCTTGTAAAAGTTTCTTCACAAACAAACTCTTAAACAAACTTAAACAAAACTTAAACACCATTTTAAAACTTGTTTAAAAACTTTCTCAATTACCTCAGAATGTTAGAGGGTAAGAGGTATATATAGGATCAAGAAACAAAGCCCAAAAACCCAAGAAATCCTAGCAAAAAAAGACAAAATAATAGCAACATGAAAATCTAGAAAAACTACTCGTTATGCAGTCGGTCGACTGGTCAGTCGACTGATGAGCTGACCGTTACAGGCCAGCAACATCTCATCAGTCAGCTGGTTAGTCGACTAAAACAAAATAGAAACTTTTTGTTATTCTAGGTGATTTCTTTAGTTGACTGAACACATGTATCAGTAGACTGATAAAGTGTTATCAGCCTGTTATGAATAATGAAACTGAATTTTAAACCTCTTTAAAAAATAGCAATTAAATTCATAAAAATATAAAACTTTGGAAAATAATTGTAAACATGATAATACACATGTTACAAATTTTTTTTTTCATAAAGCATCTCCCATTTGTAAAATATCATTATTTTTCAAATATGTCCAAAACATGAAAATACACAACACTTATTTTTGATATTTTAGTTAAACCATGTTTTGAAACTTTACAAAATAATTTTATAGACTTAATAAAAGATGTAAACTATTGTTGTTAAGTCTATAAACCAAAAACATATATATATATATATATATATAACCAATAAAATGTGTGTGTACATGATATTGAGCGTAGAGTACTTAACACACATAATATAAAACCTAAACTATTTACCCAAGCAACGATCTTGATCTTCAATAAGCTCTTCTTGGTAAACTTGCGGATAAAGCTTGAACTTAGATCTTCAACTTGAATTGCAATGCTTCATACCGTTATTCCGCCAAGCTCCATTGGATATGATCGTTGAAGCGCAATTA